ACGTTACCCATATATATATTGTATATATATTTATATATGTTTAAAAAATTCCGAGACTGATGAAAACATTAACTCTATCTGAAATTATTCTTCTTTTTAATTATGACAATCTTTAATTAACAACATAGGTACGAAATATATTTTGATCAGAATAACCTTTATTTATTTAATATGTTTATTTATTTAATTTCTTTATTATTTTATTTTATTTATTTATTCTACAGATTAGTAAATCCGAATGTACAAATCCATGTGAAATAAATGGGCCTGGAATGCAATGTGATGTTAATGCTTATTGTTTACTTATACCAGAAACTAGCAATTTTAAATGTGAATGTAAACCAGGATTTAATGGAACAGGCAAAGAGTGTGCAGATGTCTGTGAGGGATATTGTGATAACGAAGGATCTTGTGTTAAAGATATGAGAGGGCAACCATCATGTAGATGTATAGGTAGTTTTACTGGAAAGCACTGTACTGAAAAATCTGAGTTTGCATATATTGCTGGAGGCATTGCAGCATCTGTTATCCTGATTATATTTATTGTATTACTTATTTGGATGATTTGTGCGAGGTGAGTAAAATTGTTATATTTGTGCAACTTCTTAAAAAGTTTATATAATATTTATAATAATTCTTTAATAATTACTAAACCCCAATTAAGATTTATTTAATTCTACTGCATTGCAATCTCTGCTAAACATTTCAAATCCTTTCCAACTACTAACTTACTTCTGTTAACTTCCTACTACTCACATTTATATTCTCAGCACCTCTATTTACAAATAATGGAAACAATGGAAGATTCTCGTAACACAAAAACTTAAACAACTTAACATTCTACAACTATCTAAGTATTTCCCTATTTCAATACAAAAATTCTAAAGGTTCAAAAACAGCTAATTTTTAAGTGGTTTCTCATTCTGATTATTCCAAAGATTCTTCACCACTGTGGTAAGACATTATCTCACACACATGAATTACTTCTATCCTCTCACTTGCTAGTACATCGACATATCGACATTCGAGCTTCGAACACCGGATCAACGCAATTAAGTCCATCCGTCCATTCACCCTTAACATATATACGACACTTTCGATCTCCACTGCTAACACTATATGATGGTCCTTGTTTGAGAGTTACATATCCACGTTACATATGGCAGGTGTAATTTCTCCAATTACCTAAATATTTCATTGGTTTCACTTCTGACATGAATGTGCTTTATCGTCAATAGTGCCGCTCAGTGTTGAAAATTACAGTTACTAACGTTGAACAACTCTGACTTGACTAATTACCAACTATTATGAATTTCATTTGTGTTCGCTTAATTTAAACTAATGAATTGACTATTACTGTTCATTTTTGGAAGTACAGCTGAACTTTAACTATACTCGGCAGTCCTTTGTTGACCAAGAAACATTCTCTCTTTGTCTTCTACTTTATTGTTCTTCTACAATTGTATGATATAGATTAAAATCGTAACGGAAACTTCTAGTAATTCAAAAACTGAAATAAAATATTTTACAAATTATCTACGAATTTCTTAATTAAGACAAAGTGATGGGATGGGAGCGGCTTTAGTTCATACTAAGGCCAGATTACTGGCGTATCTGACAAATATTTGTCACTTATATGTAACTGCCAATGCATTTGGGAAGTATAGAAGTGTTGGGCAAGATCAATTATTCACCATTTATCTTTCCCGTTGTCTGTTTATCATATCACAAAAGAATTTTTTACAGGGCAAACCGGAGGAAGGAGCCCAAGAAATTGCTCAGTCCTGCTACAGATCAAAATGGGTCTCAGGTGAATTTTTATTATGGAGCTCCAACTCCATATGCTGAAAGTATCGCCCCAAGTCATCATTCAACTTATGCTCATTATTACGATGACGAGGAAGACGGCTGGGAAATGCCAAATTTTTATAATGAAACCTACATGAAAGAAAGCCTTCACAATGGAATTAATGGCAAAATGAACAGCTTAGCAAGATCAAATGCTAGTATATATGGTACGAAGGATGATTTATATGACAGACTAAAGCGACATGCATATCCCGGTAAAAAAGGTACTGATGAAAAGTATGAATAAACTGTAGATTTTTAATATGACACTGTTTTAGATAAAAGTGATAGTGACAGCGAAGGGCAGTAGAAGCTAGTAATATGTTGTTCATAAACTTTAATGCTCAAGGGTCACAATGAATATCTAGTTTGTTACTATTTTTTTTTTGACCGCCAATAAGCACTACCATAGTTAAGAGATATTTAATATTTTGTTAAATATTAACATTATTATAATTAATATATTATGTGAATAATTTCGTAACATTTGTGTGTG